CAAGAATTTATTCTATTTCATTGTAATTTATTCCATTTTAATTCCATCCTGTTATTCAATAAAAACTTTCAGTTACAGAACTGGTATTGGTGAGATACACTTGTATACATATACATACTCAAAATAATCTATTATTCCTAATGCCATAAGATGTGACCTACTGATCTTCATCTGTAACCTTTGTTTTTTCTTGTTAAGTCCTGCTGCTTGTATTTAGAAATTTAGTCTCTATGAATATAGATGTTTAGCTTACCATAGTGATATTTGTTTAAATGTATCCTACTGAAAGACAGGAGGATAATCTTTAATTAACTAATTTTTACTGATTTATTAAATAATGATTGATTATACTTTCAACGTACTAAAATAAAATCTCTTGCAAAAGACTGGTAGATCCCATTTCACAATCATAAACTTAACTGGGAAACCTGAAGCTAATCAATACAAATCATGAAATGTGTTGGACAAATCCCATGAAAAACATGCAAGAAATTTCATTTAATTAGCAGCATATTGATTTTTCCTGGATTTAAGATGCAGAGCCATGCATATAAAGAGTGTAACTTGAGTCCAATAGAAGCAATGAAAGCATGGAGTAGCAAATTAATTCAGTTAGATCTACAACCTCATAATCTTTGCTTTTTGTATACGTGACAAAATCTGAAGGGGTTTTCCTGACACTCAGCCACATGCTTCCTACGTTTTAATAAACAAAATCTAGAGGTATCTGGTAGCGTGTTACTGAATAATTCCATATGCTTTCCTCTATCGGATGAAATAGGTTTGGAAAGTTTTTGATGTAAAATTGTAACATATGAATAACTTCTCAGAAGTGCAATTTTGCAACTATGATTTATTTTCTGGCTAAATTAAGTGACTTTTTTGTTACATATACATGTCTTCCCTTAGAAGTCCTTTGGCACTGCATTTATAATATAAAGGACCAGTTATGCAATCCTCATTTACGTCCACTTCAAAGCTATTACTATGAATTACGTATTATGTGCATCTAATGTGTGTATATATACGAATCAGACCCTGTGTCTGTGACTTCAGTTTAACTACGCCTTGCCAGTTATCAGTAGTTGTGATAGTACTCATAGGGTCGGAAACTCATTCTCTTGGGCAAATTTACCTCCTTCTGCACGCAGAATCTTGGCACAGAAAAGCAGCTGCCACAATGAGTTTGCAAGTTGTCATTAGTGGACAGAGAAATTGTGGGATCTCTTATCTGTTTTAAATCTGACACACATAAAGAAAGACCTTATATGATTCCTTATTAATTTAAATTATTTTGATTTAGAAGTGCAAGTATTAGAACTGTGGAAATCAAAAGACATCTAATGCTGGCTCACTTTTTCATCAGTTAAAATGTGCAAGCTCAATCCTTGAGTCACAGCTAGGTGTTTGTTTTTTTTAAAATGAAACGTTATTTATAATTCACTGGTTGTGTTAAGAGAATTACTATCAACTTGAAATGAAACACCATTCATATCACTGCCTGGAAAATGTGACTCACGGTGAGAGGAACCCCTCTTCTGGTTGAATCATGGAACGCCGCATGTGGAATCACTGTACAGCAAACAGGGAGTTATCCCAGGCTGGTCTCAGTTGTGGGAGAGAGATGGAACTTTTAGTGAGCAATTCATCTCCCTTTGAAGAAGACATTGAACATAACTCAGTTTGCATGTCTGCTTATTCACACTGACTATAAGGGACTCTAAAGAGCCTTGACAAAATAGATACCTGCATCCTAGGTGTGTAAAGCAGGTAAGAAAAGTGCCATGTAAGAAGTCTGTTGTGACATGGAAAGGTCCCACCTCCTACCCCCTGACTGGTCAGCAAAAGGAACAATCAGCATGCTGTGGCATACATGGCTGATATTGAAGATCAGGTATGCCATTGGTGCTTATGAGCTTCTTTTGACAGTTTCAAAAAGGGCTTCCTGCGGATATACTGAATAGAAAGACCATATTTTGATCATTTTGATCATCAACTTCCACATATTTACATTGAAAAATCATTGCAAGTTTTAAGGCCACCATGGTTGCTACTGCTTCTAAAAATTTGAACATTTGATTCCTGTGCTGCTTCACTTCTCAATTCCACAGTTTCTTACTTTTTGCTAATGCGTTTTCTCCCACATTTATGCCTCAGGCTGAATTCTTAGAATAGTAAATGGGAGAATTTTGCTCTTGCTATTTTAGTCACTTTGCTTTACCAAACCTCTTTTCACGTTTCCCTTATCGTTTTCCCCGTATCTTCTGCAGTAGTTCCCTTTTGCTACACTTTTGCTTTCTGTGATCTTCCCTTTCCTCAGTTAAGAGTCTTCTCAAAGACACTCTTCCAGGAAGCTCAGGAACATAAAGCCCTCCATCTGAAGTGTCCGTTTCTAGTTTAGCTTTGATGTGCTTTAGCGACACTGTGCCTTCCAGTCACCTAGTTTATTACACTGGTGATGAGCTCTTGCTGAGATTGCCAGCTGAGCCATCTGGGTGATGTGATTGGGCTCTACCTGTCTGGTGTTCTTTCTCTGTATACTCCATGACACGAACTCTGAGAACAGCAGGACCAGGAGAATTTCTCAGCAGGACAGATCTGCACAAGCTGCATTCCAAACACTCCCCAGAAGAATTCAGAAAGTTTAGTACCATCGGAAAGGGTTTTCAGTCCTTCTGTGAAGAGCAGGAAGAGTGTTTGTAATGCATATCTTCTTTCCTGGCATAGCACTCCAGTGCAACATGTTTTACTGGGATTTTATATGCCGCAAGAAAGCACCTATGCATACTTCCACGCTTATGCCATGAAATTTGTTGCTATGGAAATATCAAAACCAGTCTGTGACTAAGAATGAGCAAACCCATTCAGGCAAAATAGTATTCAGCCTCATTTCCATTCAACAGTCAAAATGAATTGTAGCCATTTTCATGCTTTATAGTGGCTTAGTATCTTTCCTATATCATTAAAGTCTTTTAGCCACTTACATCCAATGCACGCAAGCCCCAGTTCAATGCATAATTTGGGCACAGCAATTCCAGCAGCACCTCTGAGAAATTAGATTAAACTAAATTAGATTAAATTATCCTTACTATTCTTTGCCTTCTCTTGCTTCCTTTAGATTTCTTGGCACAGAGGCATTTTCTAGATTAGTTGCAGCACTGACTACACCACCTTCCTTCTAAACATTAAATCTTCAAATGATTTATTGCTTCTGATATGCAGAATGCACTCTGGGGACTAACTGAATGGAAATCTTCCTGTCGAGGGGAATTAAGAAGGGCAACAGTGACTTCCAGCAGAGTGTGTCTTGGGTCCTGCTGCCTGAGCAGCTTCTCCTGTGGCAGAAAAGAAGCTGACCTGAGGCAAACAACTGTGGAAGAGCACGTAAGGCAGGCTCACTGTGTGCTCACAGGCATGCGTACCTTCTCTTCCAGATATCACATTTTCTTTTACTGTCAGGGATTTCGTTATGTTATAGGCTTTCTAAAGTTTGTCCCTTGGAGCCAAAGAGAGGGCCATATTTTCCAGGGTCTCTGTCTGGTTAAGTTAACAGATTTCTGAATGACTGTGTTGTATGACACAAAAATCCCACTATTAGAAACAGGTGTAACATCTATCAATAACTGAAATGTCTCTTGGAGAGTAATTTGAAACCAATGCCCTAAATTACCTCTTAAATGAATACATTAACATAGGATTATGATTATAATAATAACAGATTACTGATCTAAGCATTTATCTGTCTCCCTTTCCTATTTATTTAATCACCATGAATTTAAGTATGACTGCAGAACATTCTTAACTAAGGATGCTTTTCTGTTTATAGAATAGACTTAAAGATTTAACCCTCTGTTCCCTGAGAAGCCCTACACAAAAATGCTCAGAATACATGATGAGTTCCCAGGGGAGTAAAATTCTACAGAACTGCCAAGACTGGATCTTCTAGAGGTAAATATGGATATTATGTGAGGCTAGATGAAAAAAACTAACAATGTTAACACACTCCAGAGCCTATGGACAAAAACTATTAAACATGACAAAGCTGCACTTCTCCTCAAAATAGGTGAAGTACTGTTTTTCCTTGGGTTAAATACCTGTTATACCCTTGAGAAGACAAGAGGTATTTTGAAAATTCTGGAAATGTTAAGTTTTAAGTTTAAATGATAAATTGCCGGTTTAGTTAAATGTCTGTATACTTTGATGGAGAGTCAAAGAAAATGCTCTTTCAGTCTGCCAACACACTGTAGAGAATGTAACAACCTGGAAAATTACACAGTGTAAGAACACATGGATTAACATGATGTAAAAAATATGAGGTCAAATAAGGTATGCTCCCATAAAGATGTCCAAGACCACACTGCCATAATAATAACCAGAAGTGCTGCAGGGTAAAATTTTCAAGTGTTCACCTAACTTACAATGCCAGTCCTGTTTTCAAGTTTGTGTTTCTTTTGAAATAATAGTGTCTTTTACAAAGGAATTATTTTTCTCTTACACACTTGCAAAGGTTAGAGCAATAGAATTTGCCATCCTGAATCAGAAAAGTAAGTTTTGAAAGTTTCTCGTAATTGCCTAAGGGCTTGTAATGCGAAGACTTTGCCTCGGTACAGCTACAGAACTGCATGTCCCAAATAAAGGATCGATGCATTCCTCATACCATTTTTTTCCATTACATTTCACTGCAAAAAGTTACTAATGAAGGTAATCATGACATGGGCACACACTGGTATATGTGGAAAAAACCACAGTTTGGGAAAGAACTTAAACCAGGATAATAAGAGAGAAGCCAGAAAGCTAGCAAGATACAATACCAAAAGTCACCAATTTGAGTCACCACATGACTCAAGTCCTCTTTAATAAAACAGATATAAGGATATGAAACAATATAACATTATTATTATAAAAGGCAGTTTTCAGTGAGACTTTTTATAAATAAATATTAAATTTAGAAACCCAAGATGGTTTCACAGAGGAATTTTAGTCATATTAATTACTCTTACCTGTTATAGTTGCTTTGTTAATAGATGGTTGGTTACACATTGGTGATCGTCTGTTTAAAAGAAAAGAAAAAAAAAGTATAAGCCTGATAAACTCCCAGATGACTGAATCCTTGAACAATACAATAGAAAATACATTTCCTTGGGAAAGGAATACTCTGGCATTGCCAAAGAAAAATTTCACTTTGAACAGATATTTCTAGTGTAGAAGGGAATTCACAACTGACCCTGAAGTATCTTTGCATATTGCGGACTCCAAGAGAGGAATATTTCAGGAATTTACAAGTTCATTAAAAACCTGCCTAATTACACCTAGAGCTTACACCTAGCCTGAAGTTTGGTTTATATACATAGTTATCATTATTCTAACATGGCCTGCACTACCTACGTTCTCTGACCTGAAATACTTTTTTTAAAAAAAAACAATTGTCACTCTATTATTTTGCATATACATTTCACATACTATTTTGTGTATACCTTTGACAATAATCTCTAGGGCAAACAGCTCAGTGGGCTGCTTTGGCCATAGAAAAAAGCTAGAAGTTGCTGGTCTGACATGGCTGCATAGGCATGTGTGAATGACTGCAAGCAGGGACCACACAGGGTCCGCATATTCCAGTGAAGGGGGTTGGAAATATCTCTTTGTGGCACTGCATAAGCAATGGTAGGCAGCTGTCTTTGGAATGCTACTGACTTGTAAGTTTTAGAGACACACACTTTGGGTGAGGGAAATGACTCCACTACAAAATTCGCCAGTGTCATTGACGTAAATGTTAACTGTGACGCTGTAACACGACTGGAGAAAGATCATATTTATAATGTCTCATTTACAATCATGAACTAATCTGGATAAGTGGGATGTCATTATCTTGGATGAGTTAGGCAGAGTTGTAGGTTCAGATCATGCAAGTAGTTCACAATGAGTGTAGCTGTCTGCTCACTTTGGTTCATTTGCAAGACTCAGACCCTGCTTCCATGATCATCTTTGAATGATCTTTGACATATGACTAATTTATTGAAAATCATGTAAATCGCACAAAAACACTCCAAGTTTATGCAAGGACAGTAAGGCAAGAGCAATCAGTACGCAAGGGGTCTGTTGTCTCAGCTATCAACTTCAAGGGATTATTAAACTCATTACTCATCACACGTTTTATGCAGATTTGGCGACACAGACTGAAATCTGTAACATCTGATTGTTATTTCTGGTTTACATTTAAAAATACTACTTCACAAGTTTAGTGGCCAAAAATTGACACTTACTTGCTGGGTGCCCGATCTTGTAAATTGGTTAATGCAGCAAAGTTATTCCGTACAGTACGCAGGCTGGCCAGCACCTGGAACAGACAAAAAGGTTTCAGTCTAAATTTCTGCACAGGTGAGACAACTGATTTACCTTCGCTCCACTGTGCTGAAACAAAAAGAAAAGAACATTGCAAAACAACTGTAAAAGGTTTCCAGGGTTGGTTTGTGAGAAGCCTTTGACCATTATTTAACAATAACATGTCTGTAATACAAGTGCAATAGTTTATTTCTTTTTTTTCCTCATAAACAACTCATTATTTGTTTAAAGACAGACTTACTTGAAGAGTAGGAAAGTTTTTCACAGAATACTACTTAGTTCTCTAAAATGACCATAAAAGCATTCATGTTTCAAAGATAATAGCCCATTCAAGCCTAATATTTCATGCATAAGAAATGATTACAGAACTTTCCATTTGCAGTTCAGCCCCCACAAACCTCAAAGGACAAAGGGAATGGGATTGTCTAGACTGCCAGGAAAAATAAAAGTGGCTCCTCTAAGGGGCACAATTGATGTGGGGCAGTGCAGAAGGCCAGAATAAGAAGAAGGTGTCACCTGAGCAGGTGGGAAATGTCTACAGGCTCTTACGAGCTTTGTGCATTGGGAAAGATGACATAAATGAACTACTTCGTTTCTGGACTTAATTCCATCCAAGACAGCAGCTAGTGGAGGCATTAGAGAAGAGTCTTCTTGTAAGTGTACCAAGTAAGGAGAGTAAGGTACACCTCTCTGACTAAGAAGAGGCAGTTCAGCCAATGTCAGAGAGGAACCAGACTTGTTTGGAACCAGACTGGGAACAGGGAGAAGAAGCAACACTCATCATTGGTGTGCCTTTGCAGGAGTTGCCCGTTGTCCAAGGAATAACAAAGGTGGATATGGGAATTTGGGTTCCAGAGGTCCAAGTTGAGCCTCTTAAACTTATACATGAGGTAAGATGAGGGTAGGAGGCTGAAGGGAAAAGAAGGATTTAATGAAAGCTTGTAACAGACACCAAATATTCAGGAGGTAATAATGACTGGCAGTGTTCAAGCTACTGTAGGTAGTGAGTTAAGATAATAAAACCGAAAATACATTTGTTGCCTAATCAGACAGTACTAATTTAATTACGCTTTCCTTTCCAAAGATCAGGAGGCAAACTCACATATTTTACATTCACCACGGAATAGAAATAATTATATATGTGCCATCAAATTTGCATGCCCAGGGTACAGTGACACTAATAAATGTTGTATTTAGATATTGGATATACACAGACACAAAACAGGCATGAACTGAGCAGAAAGGGAAAAAAGATCTCGGCATTCAAAAGTTCAAAAATGAATACATAAAATACAAAGAAAAACTACTGAAGTATGAAAATATTGTAAAAGGAAAGGATGAGTTGAAGGTGGAAGAAGGAAAGCATAAGCAGAAAAAAGTTGGGCCTGTTAAGGTATGACACATATTTTAGTGGCTGCAGTTCATTTCCCGTTCTCTTTGGTCAGTCTGCCTGGGTTCAGTTTAGGTGTGCCAGGGTGCGGAGACAGCATCAGAGACACATATCTGTGTGGCTCCCAGAGATGTCTCAGGCCATGAAAAAATGTAGTTGGTCTTCTTGGCTGCAAGTTCCTACTCAGCAAGTGCTGGACTCAAATTGGCTGTATATTCAGGTGCAGTGAGAACTGGGAGCACGTACAGAGGTAGCTAAGTGACTCCTCGGTCAGTGATCTCAGGTCCAGCCATGCTCCTTCGCTCTGCCGCTGGTGGACTGAAGGGAATGACTGTACCTGCTGCGCAGGGCTGAGCTTCAGAAGGGTTAGTAGGCTAGGCACGATGCCAGGTGAAAACATGAACCTGGCTGAGGTATGCACTGGATCTGAAATAACAGGACATTTAGCACCTGGGGTGCTGGGGGAAGACGCGTGCAGAGCTGCAAGGTTGCTCAGGGCCAGTTACGAATGGAGGCTAACGAGCCTTGCTGGGCCCACGCTCCAGTCCCTGCAGGGCTGCGACGGAGTCTCTTTACTGTGCCCACCGCTATGTACATTGACTGGATTTTTCCGCTGTCTAAGATATCATGAATCTCTCCTTTTTCAGAAAGCAGAGACTTGACTGTTTGGTCTGTATGTCCTTCTGTTTGTTCTTCTGACGGGTGAGGTAACTGTTCTGTAGGTCCAAGGGTGAAATGTCCAGTATCTGCCCAGTGTCACAGCTGCTTTAGCATACGTGCACATACGTTGACAATGTCTGCACGTGCAAGGCGTCCCCACATACATAACAATGAATGTAAAAGTGACAACAAAAACTTTGGCCGTTGGCTACAGTGGAGCTAGACAAATTGATTTATTGTATATTGCATTTACTGTATAATGATTTATTGTATATAAACAACTTGGGTTTTTGTATATACATTTATAAATTTATAAGTCTATTATATTATCATACAAAAACATAAAATAATATTTCAATTTTTCATTATAATTTGCTTTAAGTGACAGTTTCTCTGTCCACAGAAGTTCCACTTCTGCTTAATGTTTCTAGAGTTAGATTTGTGAGCAAAAAGCAACCAGTCACCAGCAAAACTCTTTAGGTTTAATCCTTAAGTAAATAATATTATTTGCAAATTCAAGTTATGTACGAAGAGTTGCAAGTGAACTAAAAAATCAAAAATTTTGATGATAAAAATCCTATGGAATTAGTCCTCAAATTTCAAATCACTCAATTTTATTTTGAAAAGCAAAATTCTACGAGTAATTAAATTAAAGCAGTTGCTAGGCTATAGGGAAGTGCAACTAATAATATCCTTGTGATTGATAAGTTTCTTAATTTTAGTTGACAAAATTCCATTCGGGTAACAATAGTAGATTATCTTGTCCTGGGGTAGACGCTACATGGGGGACACAGCATGCCAACCTGCCTCCAGTTAACAAATGCAGCTGCGCTACCATGGTGATGTGCTGAACAGAACCTGAAATGCTCAGATTAGAACTATTACTACCAGGTGGCTCACGATCAGATGAAACAAGACTCCTGATCAATTGAAGAGAAAACGGATGGTTTGAAGTAACTGGAACGTGTTCCACAGGCTATTCTCTACTGCCACCAGCAAGCACCGAATGGATTTAAAAGGTGCTTTTGCTGTTTGCAACACAAAAATGCATCTGTGATGCATGTGATGAAATACTGCTGTAAGAAGATATTAAAAGGGTAGTTTGTACAATGCGTAGACATTGTACTGGCAGATGGGATCCAATTTCTGAAGTCCTGAGTGAGGTCCTAATACTGCTAACGTAACACAAAGGGACAGGCCTTGTGCTTAGCTGCAGGTGCAGCCTGTGAGCAGGCCCCACTGGGAGATGGGATTTTGCATATTCAAATAATTTTTAGATAAGGGCTATGTTTTCCCTAAGAGTGTAACCAGATGTCACCCCCCCTTTATGAGGCACCCTCTCAACTGCATCTCAGTTTCCCCTGTGTCAGGGAATGTGACATACGATAACTCATCCTTTGAGTGCTCCTTCTCCTGTTCAATGCAAATGCAAACAGGTTGATTTAAACCAGTGCTAACAGGGTTTTGCACCGAAATACTAAAATCTCTCAAATAATCAATTACAGCACCTTGGTTCAAGTAGCAATAGCATTCAACTGCTGTTACTCTAATTGTTGAAGCACAACCATGAACGCCAACAAGAATATGAAACTGCCCTTAAAACACATAGGGTGTTTTGTCACAGGAAAAAAATATCCATAAATGCAGTGTAATATTTGCTGCTTTTCTAGGTATACTATAACCTACCTTATGTATGTGGCATAATTTGTAATAAAAATGCAGATGACAATGAACATTAACTCAACTATAGTAAATATTACTGGATTGTTTGACTACCAGACAATTCGTATTTTTTCTGTACTCAAGAGTTAGGGTTTTTCTGTTTCCTGAGGAACTAAACCCAGAAGTGGTTTTGCTTTTTTTTTTTCTTCTTTTTCCTGTAATTTCTTCTCTTCCATTATTGTTGAAGTATATGTACCCTTTGAGAGATCATAGAATCACAGAATCATAGAATGTTTGGGGTTGGAAGGGACCTCATAGGTCATCCAGTTCCATCCCCCCTGCCACGGGCAGGGACATCTTCCACTAGACCAGGGTGCTCAAAGCCCAAGCCAGCCTGGCCTTGAACACTGCCAGGGAGGGGGCAGTCACAGCTTCTCTGGGCAGCCTGTGCCAGTGCCTCACCACACTCATAGTAAAGAATTTCTTCTTTATATCTAATCTACATCTACCCTCTTTTATCTTTAAAGCCATTCCCCCTTGTCCTATCACTACACACCCTTGTAAAAAGTCCCTCTCCAGCCTTCTTGTAGACCACCTTCAGGTACTGTCTGGAGCCTTCACTAAGGAGCCTACAATAAGGTCTGTCTGGAGCCTTCTCTTCTCCGGATCTTAAAGTGCTCTTAGAAAAGGCCCTGTCTTCATCTTTTCTCTGCTAATAAAAGACGAAGGATTCTTCATATTAAGGATTTGATCAGCCAGTGTCTTATAAACACTCTACCTGTTTAGAATATAATTAAATATATAATAACCTATTAAACGAATATTTTCTTAACAGCCTATCATTAGACCAAAGCAACCTGCATATTCCAAGTTGGATGCCTTATTCTTATTTGAGACTGCTGTGTGACTCAACCTTTCTCTTTCCATTCACCCTCAATCACATATGACTTACAGATTTATTTTTTCCCCCTGTAGTTACACAGAATTAACTTTCTTCCCTATCTATTACAGGGTAAAACATATCACCATGAATTCAAGCAATATCAATGTTAACTTTTCATACATGGTAAGACAGCTCTTTTTGCTAAAAAATTGCGGAGTTTAGATCTAAATTACATTGAATTTTGAGCTGATATTTTATTAAACAGAATCTGAATGGGAAAATCAAACACATAGAGATGGTTTTGTAAAGGAACATAAGTATTGTGGGTAAAACTTACCTAGCATCTAAAAATTACCTTGTATTCAATGCATAAAAGATGTTCAAAAGGAGGAATTATAAAAAGCAGGAGAATAACAGAGAGCACAGATTTGTCTTCATCATTACTGCTACGGTATTTGAAAAGAGAAGTCAAAGGTGTTTATAGTGTTGTTGCACTTCAGCTTTTCACGTAATCAAATAGCATTAAAAATTAGAGGCATACGTAACAAGAGTGGCAGTTTTATGACTTTCTGTTTAGACAGTTTTTCCCCATTTCAAGCCAAGATATCTTGTATAATATTAACAATGGAAAACAACTGGTTTGGCCATTTGGCCCTTAAATTGCTAGATCATGTGAGAAATATGGCAAAATTGTGCCTACCTGAGCAAATGGTGTCACAATCAAGTCATCTCCATGTCTGAAAAAATGAGCAGAGTTGCAAGTTAGGTATTACTGAAAACTTGTCTCACTGCTTTACAGAAAAAAAATCAGGTTTTACAACGCACTGTAGGTAACTCCAGTTTTATTCTTCTACAGTTACTCACTACCACTGCTTTACACATTCTCTGAAAAGTAAATACCAGCTTAGTTACTGCCCAACTGCCTGGCATGTCTGTGGGATGACTGGCGAACCAGCCGGTTTCTGCGCTGCGGGCTGGGCAGGTGACTGACCACCCAGGACTGATCTGCAGAGATTTCATCCCAAAGGATGGAGGTGAGAATACCAAAAGTGACCCCGTTCGGGGTTACCAGCAGGTTTGTGAGCTCTGGACGGGCGAGTAACTGCAGATGGCTGGGCAGCGCATCGCAGACAAGTGAAAACCTAGTAAAACTTTCAAGCTGACTCACACTTCTGTAGCTACCTGACCGAGTGTGTGCTGTTGCCGTGGCAACCTCACCCACACCATAGGGTGACGTGTGGGCAAGGTGCCGGGATGACGCGCTGTAGGGGAGCAGGGAGGAAGGCAAAGAGGGGTTGTTCCTTCGCTTTGGCATGGAAAGCTGCCACTTGAAAACATTCCCAAAAAATACAGTCTTGTAAATACAGGTAGGCTGAAGGGCTGTTGAGCTTCAGAGCAGCATCCGGTAGCACTGAGAGTATGGAGTCAGACCTCTCCAGGGGACCACAGGGACAGGGAAAACCTGGAGTTTTCAATTATCATGTCTAGTATATGGCAGCAATCAAGATGAAAAGAAATTTTCCAAAGACAAAAATCCAGTACGACTCCGTTTTAATTCCCCTGTATTTTCCTGCAGTGAATTTATTGTGGTGAGTTACAAGTTGCAGCTTTCAGCAGAAATTACCATTGCTTTGGTGCTATTTTAATGTTATTTAAGCATAAAATATGGGTATTTATCAATGGATTTGAAGTCCAAGAAAATCTAATCAGAAAAAGCCTTTCTGATAAATGGAGAAATGTGATTTGCGTTTGAGTTGCTTCAGCATCTTTCTTATTATTTATATACTGTCCACAAGACAATAATGTTTTTGCAGGTATTTCAAGAACCTAAGAAAAACACAGTAAGTACGACTAGAGAGCCTGTAAGAATGAAACAAAACTCCCCAATATTCAAAACTATCACAATGCTTAACATCTGTGTAGCTGCTTTTATTACTATCTCTTTTACTCCTGTTAGGTGAAATAGAGAAATGGATTTTTGCAGACCATGTGGAAGAAGTCTGCACTTTTAACAAGCTGTCTGCAGGAGTGATTGGAATAAGGTGTTGCTTCAGGTGAAGTCACAGTACCAGCCTGGCTGCATGGGAGGAACTCAGAGGCTCTAATTGCCCAGTGAAGCCAAATCAAACCAGTTACTATAGACATCATGAATCAGCCTACGGCCTTAACAAGGGTGAGTTAAGGGTTAGTTAACATGGGTGACCAGCTGAGTTTAGTACCTCTTCACATTTTCACAGGGTCATGAAAACATCAGGAAATGTCCTGGACTATCATTTCTGATCAGGATTGCTTAATGAGTTATACAGCTACACAAAGGCTTCAGCCACATCCCCCTTTTCCTTTTCTCTCCTCTTCTCCACTTAAACAGTCATAGTGTGAACATGGACACTACCTCACTTCCAGAAAAATTATGCTCTTTGTCTTCAAATTCTGTGAAATCTTATTATCTGCTGTGTGACAGCTGCCTTACCTGTTCCTCAGTAAAATCTGTTTATTTTTTCCCTTTTATAAAGAATATTTTTAGTATTTGCATATAGCTACTCCATTTTCTCTTCTGTTTTGACACTTTAAAGAGGCACAGCTGTCTAGAGCAAGGAATCCTGCATTAGTCATCTGAAGGACTTCTGCAAAGATGAAAAAGCCTAAAGCCTCAAGTAAATTATTTGCCAGTCTTTCTCATGCCTACCCACCTTATCTGTTACTCAGGTTGTTTAGACAGAAAGCAAACAAAAGGTTGAGCAAATTCTTAGAAATGAGCATGTTTTCTGAGCGATCAAATTCTGCACAGAAACTGTATCTAAAATCAATATGCACACCCATTTTTTACTGACTTCGTCTAATTCCCACATTTGAAAATTATGAAGGGGCAGAATCCTGAAGATCAAAATTTTACAAGTAGCAGTAGCACTGGACAAACAATGAAATATTAACTTGTTTCTACTTGTAAATAAGCCAGATAGAGTAGAACTAGTTCCTTCTAGCATCACAAGCATCTGTCAGTGGCAAACAGTCTGAATAAGCATACGACACAAATGCACAAAATAATCATCAGCACTTCAAATGCCCAGGCAACTGCTACAACATAGATATTAACTGTCAAAGTGCAGACTGGCAAAACTACAAAAATAGGATAGTTCTTCTCACCATCTCCTGTGAGCTTCCTTACTGGAGGTGGTACTTACTTGCTCTTCTTCCCATTCAGTGCCCTTGTTTGCCACTCCTTGAATGCTGAGGCACTTCTAAGAGGCTTTCTGTCTCTGGGCTTTCTGCCCTGGAGGTTTTTGTCTTTTCTATAAAATAGCATGACCCCACTCCTCTAATTTTCAAACTTCATTCTTCTTGAGCTCTTGCTGGACTACATTTCATCGGAGAACACTGATGAAATACTGTAGCTTGTTATTTTTTTGAGGCAGCATTATTAAATATTAATTTAACGCACTGAAATCAAGTCAGGACTTGATTTTCACTTTTCAAATGCTCCTTGTGTCAAAAGCGACGGTTCCACAAATTATCATTATTTTGGTGAAAGCGTCGTATTGAAAGTGCAGATAGCCACAGCTTTCTCAAAGCAGTTTAGCATGCACCAGAACCACTTGAACGGAAAAGCAATTGCATAGTGTGGCGAGTAATCTTTAATCCACATTGAGTCAGGAGATCTGGAAAAGGTGAGAGTGCTCAAACAGGGAGCTGACATGTCTAAAGCAGCTGTGTTATTTTTTGTACAGAAGATCAAGAATATATGACTCAATCAAAGTGCCATTGATCCACAGTGTACTGCAGCATAGTAAACACTACAATGTAAGGGTATCCTGCTGCTTTCTTTTCAGATGATACGGAAGCTGATAGATGATTCTGTCTGGATTCTGGACAGGATAGTGCCACACATCTACATACAGAAGCAGCAACAGGCAGTGTAAAGCCTGTGCAATACATCACAAGCTTCTAAATATAGACAGAGCTATTAACCTTTAAGGTTAGACGAAATAGTTCACATCAGTGTTAGACTCTGTTAACTAGAATGCCTGGCATACTTGTTCACATCTTAATTTTTCAAAGGAAAAACAGATTTGAAAGCAGAATAATTTCCACATAGCACCAAAATTTAAAATTATGAAATCCACCATCACCAAAAAGGACTGCTAAAGCACACAACAGTCCACATGAGATGAATCACTGTTACATCAAACACAGGCCGAATTCCCATTAGCAGACCAAAGATTACATAACACATTGCAAGTTATTTACCATGTTAAAGTGATGGAGCCTGGCCTTCTGCAAATTTTCTGGGTTTTTCCTGCTAACCTTTCCTATGGGACATACTTGAACTCACCCCATATCACCTGTGATTGTCCCCACCTTGGAAAAGAGATAGAAGTGCTATGCCAAGTCAGAAGTTAGATGAACTTGTTCAATTGACTGTTGCCAAATAAAACGTAGAAAAAAATTGCTTCCTTTCCTCAAGACTGGCATTAATTTGTCTCTTCTATCCCAATTACAGGAAAGTAATTAACTTTCCCCCCCCTTAAAAAGGAACTTAGAGATGCATCCATGGACACACAGAGGAGCAGGCAGGAAGATTAACACAAGGATAGACAGCATAACCTTTATTTCTTAATTAAGTTGGGAGAATTTAATATAATCATCTAATAAGAGGACTAGCTAGAGAGACGTTCTGCAGACTTGCTAGGATACAGTTAAAAAAGAGAGAGTGGTTTTCCAGTGTGGTCAGAAGAAAGTCAAAATGCCCATCAAGAAGAAGTGAGTCCCAGACCTCAGAGACCACGAGAAATGTGAGTCTGCACTTGCCAGTGTGGAGCTTCGCAGGGAAGCTCCTGAATAAAGTTTGTCTTCATAAAGGCCATAGTAAACTCAGATTAAGACTTTCCAGACACATATGAAGAATACCGAGTGATCTTGAGGACACGTATTGCAGATGGGAGACATAAACAAGGTAAGAGCGAGCTCTGTCTAAATAGAAGGGGGAAAATATACAAAACATATTTACACCAATCTGACGCATACCTTTTCATGGATAAGATATGGTCAAAATAAAATTCCTGGTTAATCTTGATACGATTTTTACAGCATAAATTATAAGACTAGTGGAAAGAATCTTGACGCTTTGTAGCAGCTTAAAGCACGATCATACTAGTTTGCCACACTCCTCCATTTGAATGAAAATCTCACCTCCCCAGCATAAATACTGGCTGAGGATGCTGGACAGGCTTTAAATCCAACTGGCATAGTCTGTGTTGGATTCTCTGGCTAGAAACTTGGGACATAGCCTATTTGAAAGAATAAAGCTGCCAACAGACTTTGAAAAGCCCTGGTGGACAGTGGCTGGCTGGAATCCCTGAGCTGTGCTCCACAGCAAGAACTAAGCCTTTTGTCACACTGTCATAAGAATTGACTCAATTTTTACAGAGTTGTTATTCAGCATTTTTTATTATATTTTCAATATAGAAACATAGCAAACATAAAAGCAAGGGAAAAGTCATACTGTCTACACACAATGTACAAAGTGGGAAAGAAGATGAACAGGAAAGTAGTCTACTTGAACTAGAAAATCTATTGCAGCCTCCTTTTTCAGTGTAAACATCTAAATTTGTATTAAACACGACATCCACTCACTCATGTATACAAGGCTGATTCAAACTTACTGTCCAATAACATGCTATAAATACAGCTTAGATGAGACACTCGCGTTTTGCTTGCACATACACTGGAACACAAATAT